GGCGCTCGGCGGCCCTGGCCCCACAGGCCTCCGCTCCCTGGACGCCCTGGCGGACGGCGGCGTGGAGATGGGGCTTCCGAGGCGCCGGGGGCGCCTGCTGGTCGGTGTCTCCGGACCCTCTGGGGCCCCTCGCCAGGCCGGTCGAGGCAGGCGGAGCCCCGGGCCCACAGCGCCCCTCCTGCCGCAGGGCCGCCAGGGCACTGCTGGACTTGGAGCAGCACCCGGGCCAGCTCAGGGACGCCGTCTGCTGTCCGGGCGGCGCCAGGGTCCACGCGCTGCTCATCAACCCCGTGCAGGCCTCCTGCACCCGAGTGCGCCTGTGCCCCTCACCCCCCACCAGGGCCCTTGGGGGCAGGGCGAGGGCTGCCTGACCGCCGCTCCTGGGGGCCCAGGCCCAAGGTGGCAGAGGCGCTGGGCGCCGTGGCTGCCCCTGTGCCTGCGCTGGGCACTTGGGCTCCGGAGGGCAGAGCTCTGCAGCCAGCTGTCCTCACTGCCCCGCAGGGAGCCGTGGCCATCCGTGGCTGACCAGGAGAAGGTCTCTCAAGCAGCCATCAAGAAGACCGTCCCGGGCAAGGTGAAGCTGGACCCTCCCTTGTGGCCGTGCCAAGCTGCTCCCCCAGGGCCTGGGCCCAGCAGGCCGAATGACGAGGTGTCGGCCAGGCTGGCCGTGCTGCTCTGCACTCTCGTGTGCAGGGTCAGCTGGGCGTCTCTGACTGGACCACACGGTCCCGCAGCGCCCACAGCTGTGCCCAGCCCGGCTCCGTGGCGCCCCACCGGGCGCTCCCTGCACCAGGGCCACCTTGTGCCGCCCCTGCCTCCCCTTCCGCTGCCCCCAGAGCGCCCGAGGCCACTTTCTTCCCGCCAGGGGCCTGGGGTCCACTGCCTAGACCAGCTGGCTCTGGCTGTCCTGAGTACAGAGGTGAACCCCGACGCCCCCCGCCCCCCGCCAAGGAGGGGCCCAGCCCCGCCCAGCTCAGCCCTGCCCTGCCCTGCCGAGCCCTGCCTGGAGAAGCCGCCCTCCAGGCTGGAAGGGCCAAGGGACCCTGGCACCCAGTGGGGGCAGCTCTCGCCCACACTCTACATTTGATAAAGGGCCAGCTGGACACTTGACTGCCAAAGCCTCACCAGCGCGCCGGCGTTTCCCTCCTCGCCCACCGCCTGCCCTCACCCGCCCCTTTCGGTCAATACATTGGTTTCCAGGAGCAGCGCTCTGGTGTCTCACTTTGTGGGCGCATATTGAGGGAGCCCCACCTGCCCCCAGGGCCCCTATTGCGGGGTTGCTGGCAGGCTGGGGGCACTGACCCCCGTGGGGGCTCTGCCAGGCAGTTGCGCCGCAGCCACGGTGCGCAGGGGCCCCAAGCCAGGGCAGAGGCGGGGTGCGGAGGGCGCTGCCCAGGCAGTGGGGCCGCGTGTCCCCGCCCTGCCGGACACGGGGCTGGGGCGGGGCGGACTCAGGCCGCGCTGGCCGGGACAGCGGGGTAAGAGAGCTCTGATGCAGAGCGCAGACTCTCTCTCGGGGCCCAGCCCGCAGGTGGCCGCAGCAGGGCGGGGTGTGGACATGCCCCTTGAAGCGCCAGTGGGAGGGTGCCGGCGGGGGCCCAGGGTACCCGAAGGTGGTTTTAGCACCCAGAGCGTGGGCGTCTGGTTCACCTGCGTGAGGCTGTGCACACACGCCTACCTGCCCGTCCAGCCTGACCCCCAAGGGCGGCTGCACTGCTGGCCCTGCACAGAGACCAGAGTGACCTTTGGCCGAACACCTGGGCGGTTGAAGGTCCCTCAAGCTGATGTAGACAACCAGCCATCCCAGCCAGCGCCGGCAGCCCAAGTCCATCCTGGCGGGGGAGGGACCCCAGGGCGCAGCTGACCCCTCCTACCCGCACTGCCCTGTGGGTCTGCTCTGCCCCCCACTCTGGGGCGTCCTCTCGCCCCCGCAGCTGGGGCTGGCACCCAGCTCTACGTACAACAAATGAAACTTCGTTCAATGGGATATTCAAGATGAAAACCGGCTGGTGTCAGAGGCCTGCGGAAGGTGGGAGGTGTGTCTGTCCGAGGGGGGTGCCGCCCCCCACGGGTCAGGGGAGCCTGATCCAACGGCCCCACCCAGATGTGCCTGCAAGTGCAGCCCGGCACGTGTGAGTCAGAGGGGTCACTGTGGGGCATGAGGCAGCTCCTCCAGCCCCAGGGGACAGCAGAGAACCGTGTGGCTGCTGGGCTGGACCACCCCCCCTGCTGTGTCCCCACAGGGCCCCAGGGCACGGGCTGCTGCCTGTGTGGGTAAGTGTGGGCATGGGGTGGGCCAAGTCACGGTCCGCCTGGCCACAGGGACTGCAGCCTTGGCCTCGGGGCTCTGAAGTCAAGCGCGCTCCGCACGCTCAGAGGCAAGTGCCCAGGCCAGGCCAGCCGGGTGGGGCGGAGGGTGGGCGTGGCTGTGGCCGAGGCCGGGGCTTCTGCCCATTGCCCAGCTCCCGGCCCTCAGGGCCAGGCCCCCCGTGGCCCCCGCACCCCGCCCCGATCTCCTGGGTCCCTCCTGGAAGCAGAAGCTGGGTCTCTCGTGCCTGTCACCTGCTCGGGACTCTGAAGGGGGACGTGCCCCCATCCCGGGTCAGCAGGGACCTGGTCCAGGGGTGACCAAGGAGCCTGCGGGGTGGGGGCAGATCCCCGGACTCGGGGCCTGGGGCAGCCCTGTGCAACCCAAGTTTGATTCCCAGATCCCGTCTCCGGGCGGTGGGACACAGCCCGGGGTGGGGGGCTGCCCGCTCTGCAGGACCCCAAGCAGCTCTTCTCAGCCCCACCCGGGGC